TGATGATATCTATTTGGAGGATTGTCTTTTCGTAGAAATTGATCGTAACACACCGAGTTAATTTATACATCTAACAGAAGAGAATATTTTTTAATTTTACTTATTATTTGAATACTTCAATTTTAAATAACATTCTTTACTTATACCGTTTTAACGATTATTTTCTAAAGTGTCATTTAATTTGTCCAGAACAAATTTAATTTGTTTTAAGACTTGTTTTAAGGCAGTACTCACTGAAATTTCCTTTGAAACTGCCAATTCCGCTCAACGGAAGTAACAGCAACCTTCCTTGAACATCGTAATCTCCATTAACGTGAACGTGGGGCAGCTGAACTTTCAGACGCACCGACAGATCGTTCGGATTAGCTTTCAAGTCGTCGATGATGAAATTCGTTGCGCCGTACACGCGAATCTGGCTCATGTTCGCCTTGATCTTCAACGAATCCAGATTTCTATCCACCGTCAACGATGGTAGAAATAGGGGATCTAAGGCTGGCAGCTTCAAGGACGGGACACCCTTGGCCAAATATGGTGTTATAGCTTTCAATTGCTGCATCACACATCTGTCGTATTGTCCCAGGTCGAACGTTCGCGGACAAGATTGTACACCAGGTGCTGCGAAACGGATGTAACAATGTATTAGAATTGTTGGCATGACAATAAAAAATGGGACAGTCTTTCTTGGGTTAGAAAAGATTTGGATTTTTACAATTTGATACAATAATGAATAGCTATAATTAATTGTAACGTAGTGACAAGACGAAGATATTACCTTTTTTTTAGAGAAATTTTAGAAAGAAAATATATACTTAGAAAATTTATCTTTTATTTTACAGTTGTTTTGCAATTTTATATTAATAACAGTCTTTGACAATAATTTCCTGGTAATTTTGTGATAATGACTTTACAGCAAGTTTATGATGATAATTTTATAGTAATAATAATATTACTATGTTTTTATAATAATAACTTCATAATGATAATCATTAATTATTTGCTATATCTATCTATTCATTCACAGATTAGTTGTAAAATTTTTCTTAAATTCTTCTTTTTAGAAATTAAATATCTCCAGATGATAGAAAAATTATTAAGAGTTCGATTATCACGATGTCTGTTTAATTATCTGATTTCTTCTTTCTGCAGCATAAAAGCATTTGCAGAAGAATGCACGTCTAACTGGCGTGACTTAGCAAAACTTCCATTTGCGTTGCGAAAGGGATCCTGACATTCCGATCGGTGAAAAGCACGACTCGTGTGTTTGTTAATCACGTAATTATTTTAGTTGGTCGCAGTTCAAGCAATTTAAA